TTAATGAAACTTGTAAATTTTAAGTTAGTGTTATGTTTAATTTCCAGAACACGTTTTGCTTATTTTTTTTTTGTGTGTTGTATATTCTATTTATTATAAAGCCTGCAACAATACATAACTGTTTGAGAACCTCTGTCAAATTTCGGGTTTCACTGCGACAGGCGGAGCTGTTTTCTCTCTCGCACATCCACTTAAGTTAAAATGAAGTGGTGCCTTGTTGTTCTTGTTTCAGACAGCATAACGCAAAGCGTTGGTCGTGGAAAGAAGAGAGAATGATTTTTTCGATATCACGGAAAAATTAAACCAGATGGACTTTACGCTTTTTTTTTCGTGCGCCATTTCATAGCAGAGCCATACCAAACAGTAACGCTAAAAGTTCTTTAAAAATTTCTTTGAATGAACATGATCGTTTGTTAAAAAGCCCATTTTTGAGAAGGTGCATTCGTCGGACTGTATCATTCGACGATAATAGATGGGATCTTGTCGCAACTGATTTAAAAAAAAACTGCAAAACGCTATTCTTCTCAGAGGAACTGCCTCCTTAATTGGATGCACTTTGCGTGGAATGTAGGGTTTAACTTTACGTTTTTTTTTTTTAATGTAATGCACAAACTCGTGAGAAACTTGGTGATTTGTTGCAATTTGGCGTAACGACGTATCAGGACTTTCTTGTATTTCCAAAACCACATTAATTCAATATTTTCGTCTTTAATTTTTCTCAGTATTTTAGATTTCTTGAAAAACCCATTTTTTACTTCCCGAGCGTAAGCAAAGGAAGTATTTTAATCGAGTCCGTCGGACGACTCTCTACTTTTACATTTTCTCGATCTTTGATGACCCCTAAAAGACGAAGAAATAGGTCTCCCGTTTCCGTCTGTCTGTCCGTCTTTCTGCCGTCAAAATTTGTCTAATCATCCCCACCACTTTGAGGTGATGACGTCACTTCAAAGTTGTACATAGTAATTGGGTTTTAAATTGCATCAAATAGCATAGTCTTACACATGTAGTTTATGACTCCGAATTGAGATTTTACTCGAAACGTCCAGATTTTTGGAAAAAAAAAATCAAAATTAGGAAACATTTTGACTTTTAATTTGGAATCTACAAAACCGAATGCTTTCAAATCTTGCAGATGGTTTACAATTATGATAAGCATGACACAATTTTAATCATAATCTATTTAGTTATCCGCTACAAAAAGTTGATGACGTCACCTCAAAATTTTCCTGAATAAATCCCATCTAAAATGTACAAAATATGATGAGTCTCTTCTTGTGATTTATCATTCCATTCATATTTTTTGGATACGCATATACAGGTGACCCAAAAAAATTAATGAATGCGTGAATTTATTTTATTGATTTAATCAGGAAGTATAGAACCGAATGCTTTGAGATTTTGCAAATATTTTAAGATTATAAAGAGCATAATAAATTTTTAGTCAAAATATATTTGCTTATTCCCTCCAAAAAATTATGATGTCACCTCAAAAGTTTGCCGAATAATCCTATCTAAAATGTACAAAATATGATGAGTCTCTTCTTGTGATTTATCATTCCATTCATATTTTTTGGATTTGCATGTACAGGTGACCCAAAAAATTAATGAATGGGTAAATTTATGTTATTCATTTAATCAGGAACTACAAAACCAAATGCTTTGAAATCTTGCAAATGTTTTAAGGTTATAAAGACCATAATAATTTTTTAGTAAAAATGCAAGGTGATTGCGAAATACATGCAAAAAAAACGGGGAATAGCTCACAATATGATTATGTCACTGGGTAAAATTCACGGTCCTAAGTAGTAGCAGTGTCTAGAAAAAATTATTTGAAATTAAATGTAAATTGTTGTACGCGCCGCTGAACTGTTTTGTGACCTACATAATTACTACAATGAATGGAACAGAGTGAGTCGGATTAAGAATCAAAAAAGTGACTTTATCAGGCACTTTTTTAATCCCAAAGTGAAAAACACGAAAAGGGCCAGTTAGCATCGAGCGGTCGGTGAAATCGGTTTATGGTGGAGTTTTCCCATGCAGATTGTGTCGATGTGGTAATTGGTATGTGCGAACATTTGCATCAGTGGTACAGCAACTCCGAGATCATGGTACCTTCAACTTCAAACTCACGATCGTGGCCGTGATAAGACAGAAAAAAGAAGTTGGGTTTTCACAGCCTTGTAGTGCATCCTACATTAAAAGAATACGGCCACATCCATACCATGTTGACAAAGTACAGGGTTTGGAGCCCGCAGATTGTCGACGTTGTGTAACTCACTTTTTGTCCGATCAAACTCCACATGCTCGTCAACAAGTACGATTGCAAGAGACGGTTTTCGATAAATGTGTATCGGCTGGATGAAACAGTTCGTTTGTGAAAATCAACAGTGTCCAGAAATTATCGAAGAGCTTCAACAACAAGTGAAAGTGGCAGCCGCTACTCCGGTCTTTTTTTACCTATCAACAAACATCTTGCGACGCTCTGACGCCTGTATGGCTAGTCAAGGACAACATTTTCAACATTTCTTATAAAAAGGTAGTAACATTTTAAGTTGCTCTTATTTTTGTTCCAATAAACAATGCAAAATCGTTGTGGCAAGGACCAAACATCCGTCAGAATCAAAAGTTGATCATCATGAAGCATTACCAAAAAATTTTCGCACTGACCTTTAACGATGAATGAATAAATGAATGAACGAATGATAAGCAGCAAAAAGTCGGTTTTACTTTTAATTGAAACTGAAAGTGTTTAGGTCGTTTTTATTCGAACGTTTTTCCAACTCTGTTTACAAGGTGGCTCAGTGCCTTCGTATCGAGGGTGGTTCATGGGGGTTTTGCCCCATTCGATTTGTAATTTGTTTTTTCTATATTTCGACTCTACTAGGGTGGGGGATGCCGTGGTTAAAATATTTGCACTTATTTCGCAGTCACCCTGTATATTTGCTTATCCTCTCCAAAAAATTGATGACGTCAGCTCAAAATTTTGCCGAATAATCCTATCTAAAATGTACAAAATATGATGAGTCTCTTCTTGTAATTTATCATTCCATTCGTATTTTTTGAATTTGGATATACAGGGTGACTCAAAAAATTTAATGAATGCGCAAATTTATTTTATTCATTTAGTCAAGAACTACAAAACCGAATGCTTTGAAATCTAATGCGAAAAAAAACATAATAGGCATGCAGCCGTCACGTTTCCGACAGCGAGGGAAGTACCGTCTAAACTCTTTAGACCAATTTTTTTCTTTTTACTTCTCGAGCGTAAGCAAAGGAAGTATTGTAATCGAGTCCGTCGGCCGACTCTACTTTTGTTGTCTCGATCTTTCATGACCCCTAGAAGACGAAGAAATAGGTCTCCCATTTTCGTCTGTCTGTCCGTCCGTCTGTCCGTCGGTCTGTCCGTCCGTCTGTCCGTCGGTCTGTCCGTCTGTCTGTCCGTCTGTCTGTCCGTCTGTCTGTCCGTCTGTCTGCCGTCCCGGATTTTTATTAGAGAAATAATCTCCGAAAGTACTGGACCGATTGTTGTAAAATTTTGTAGTTATATTAGGAATATCATATAGATGGTAAAACGCTAACCAAAATTTGTCTAATCATCCCCACCACTAATGTGATGACGTCACTTCAAAATTGTACATAGTAAATGGGTTTTAAATTGTATAAAATAATATAGTCCTAAACATGTAGTTTACAACTCCGAATTGAGTTTTTACCCGAAACGTCCAGATTTTTGGAAAAAAAATCAAAATTATAAAACAACATTTTGCAATTTAATTTTGAATCTGCTAATCCGAATGTTTTGAAATATTGCAAATGTTTTAAGGCTATAAAGAGCATCATAAATCTTTACTCAAAATATATTTGGTTATCCCCTCCAAAAACTTGATGACGTCAGCTCAAAAGTTTGCCAAATAAATCCTATGTAAAATGTACAAAATATGATGAGTCTGTGCTTGTGATATATCATTCCATTCATATTTTTTGGATTTGCATATACAGGGTGACTCAAAAAAATCAATGAATGCGTAAATTTATTTTACTGATTTACTCAGGAACTACAAAACCGAATGCTTTGAAATCTTGAAGGTGTTTTAAAGTTATCATAAGCATGGTAAGTTTTTGATCAAAATGTATTTGCTCATCCCCCCTAATAAATTTATGACGTCACCACAAAATTTTGCCGAATAAATCCTATCTAAAATGTACAAAATATGGTGAGTCTCTTCTTGTCATTTATCATTCCATTCAAATTTTTCGATTTCTATATACAGGGTGACTCAAAAAAATTAATAAATGCGTGAATTTATTTTATTGAGTTAATTAGGAACTACAAAACTGAATGCTTTGAAATCTTGCAGATGTTTTAAGGTTATAAAGAGCATAATAAATGTTTAGTCAAAATATTTTTGCTTATCCCTCCAAAAAATTGATATCGTCAGCTCGAAAGTTTGCCGAATAAATCCTATCTAAACTGTACAAAATATGATGAGTCTGTACTTGTAATTTATCATTCCATTCATAGTTTTTGGATTTGCATATACAGGGTGACCCAAAACAATTAATGAATGGGTAAATGTATTTTATTGATTTAATCAGGAACTCCAGAACCGAATGTTTTGAAATCTTGCAAATGTTTTAAGGTTATAAAGAGCATAATAAATTTTTAGTCAAAATATATTTGGTTATCTTCTACAAAAAACTGATGACGTCAGCTCAAAAGTTTGTCGAATAAATCCTATCTAGAATATACAAAATATGATGAGTCTGTACTTGTAATTTATCATTCCATTTGTATTTTTTGAATTTGCATATACCGGATGACTCAAAAAAAATAATGAAATCTACTGCAAAAAAAACATAATAGACATGCAGTCGTCACGTTTCCGACAGCGAGGGAAGTACTGTCTAAGCCCTTTAGACCAATTTTTTAGTATTATTATTATGACTATTGCGTTTCCTTTTTTCTGTGAATAATTAAATAATGTTTCTTTACTTTATAGTCTGCCACCACTGCTCCATTACCAACACCTCTCAGACGAGGAGTGTTTACCAGGACCCTCTGTTCTGCAACCGTCCCCTCCACCCTCTTTCGATTTCTCCCAGTCGATGTTCGAAATCGAAGGAGGGAATAATATTGAGCTCCTAAGAGCACTGTGCAACCAGATGGAAGAAACCCCTGAGAAGCCGGCAACATCTGCTGGTGCATCCCCCTCTGGCACTGCGGAGGAAACCTCAACAGCAGCAGCTGCATCCTCCCCACCTGTGTCATTGTCGTCGTCTCCTTACCCTGCTACTGCTACTTCCACGTCTGCTCACCAGGTCCGCCAAACACTACCAACAACACTGCGTGCTCTTGCAACTCTTGCCGAGTCTGCTGAGTCTGATGACTCAGCAGACGAATTTCTGGATGACAACAGTGCCGAGGCACTGTTAAGTGCATTCAAACGGAAAGTTAGGCAGGTGAAAGCAAACCATGTGGGGCGCCATAAAGAACTAGTTACAAGAAAGAAAGTGAGTGAACGCAAAATAAAGAAGCTTACCAAAGACATTGCTTCATTAGAACGACAATTAGTGGAGGAACAAGCCAGGCTCAGGCACATTGAAAATGAGGGAAAAAAATTGACTGAGCAAAGTGCCAGTGTTCAAGATTAAAACAACATAGTGAGTAGTAGTGTTAATAGTGTTAGCAATAGGATTTTTTTTAGTGGTATCTTATGTATATTATGAATAACAGTAGTGTAGGCGTAGTAGTGGGTAGTAGTAGTAGTAGTTATGTCATTATTTAGCAGTAGTGTGATATAATAAATCATATCAATACATTATTCTGCTTTTTTTAATGTTGCATGTTGGGCTTATTCGAATCCTCTTTCGATGGTCGTTTTTTTTGCCTGAAGAAAAGTTTACGTGGCGACTTACACAAAAAGTGAAAAATGGCCCCTGTGTGCGGACCGATGTGGACAGGATCGATTTTTTTGTGTAGACCTATACGTCCGTTCTAGAAGAAAGTTTTGATGTAGCCAACAGATATTTTATCTCTTACCGTTCGGGCACCACAAACTTTTGTCCTTTTCGCCTTTATTTTCAACTTTTTTTTTTCTTTCTTTCAGCATGTGTTAACTTTTTTAGCTTTTTCGTTTTTTCATTATTACTACTAAACGATGTATCAAATAACATATTTAATTATATGGATTTATAGATTGTTTATTCAGAAATATTTTGACACAAAAAAAAAATTGGACTATGACTATTTTTTCCAAGTAGTCATAGTCCAATTTCTTTTTTTTATTATCTTAGTTTAAACTTTTAGTGACTTAAGCTAATTGAACTCTGAGCCTTCAATAGGATATCAATTTGAGCGTAATTTTTGTGTTTTGAGAACGTTTATGATGCATATTCTATTGAACTTCCATTTTGCAATCCAGACTTACCTTTGAAGGAATCACAATAAACACAATTTAACTGAATACCACCCAAAAATTGGTGAGGTGATTAATCTTAGTTTCAATTTCGAAAAATTGATCGAAGGTTATTTCGACAGAACTTCCCTTGCCCTTGAAGTACAGTCCCACGAATCCCGCTTTTTTGAAAAATTATAACATAATAAATAACACCCCTCCAGTCCCTGCCGCGAGGACGTAAATTCCAAGGGGGAATGAATAAATTATATTTGAAACATTTAACCGTCGAGAAAACATGTTATTTCACTGTCACAGTACATGCGTAACTTCGACTATTTATGTTTATACTTCGAAAGAATTCGACACAAACGACAAACAGACAGACAGACACGGAAAATCACTTTTTTCATACTCTTGAGGTCATGAAATTTCGAGAAAACATGACAATGTTAACCAAGCAGAGCATGTTTGTGAATTTCGATTTGATAGGAAATATTGAGTAATATTCACAGATATTTATCCTTAAGCTATCCATCAGTGTTTTGACATTTTGTTATTTATTTCAGAATTATGAGTGAGTCACGTAGGATACCGTGTCCCCGCAACTGGATAACACCGTTCCAGCCCCTGCCAAATGAAACACTTCAAGAAAACTATCGACGCATTTTTCAAGAGTACTTACCTGAGATGAAGGTTCTTAATGTGATACCGCGCAACTTCAGAAATAAGCCACGGTGTAACTGGAGTGTTCTATTTTCTCGGGACAAACCCCCAGAACGTGGTTTATTCCAAATTATTCGTGCTTTTCTCAATGAGTGGAAACCAGGCAACGTAGGCGTAGGACGTGTAGATATAATACGTTTGACTGCACAAACTCGTCGACCTTTGTTTGAGGTCATCTACAATGTAGAATGTAATTGTGAAGCTATGGAAGTTTGTGATGATGACGAAGACAATTTAGCGGATGTTTCGGGGCAGGTTCAGGAGATGAAACTTGAAGAAATGTAAAAAAAAATATGAGCTATCTCATCTCAGCTATATCAGCTTCATTTCTTAACCCCATCAGGGCACTTACTGTCTTTGTTAAACTGTTTGCGAATTACACACCTCATTCTTCAAAATGTATATCTGTTCTTGTGAAATTTACGATTTTTTTGGTTACTCTCGTGGTTGTGACCGTTGCTATCTGACCAGGGTCAAGTTTTACGTGTTCGTAAAATTGTACAACCAGGAAACGGCCTTTCTAATATAATAAATCAGCCGATATCACAACAAATTTAATCAGAGGTACTTAAATAAACTTATTTTTATATCCATCTTTTTAGATGTAAGATCCTAAGGTTTTAAGTCTGTTAACAACAGAAAAAATATTTTGTATAACAAGTGTAATAGTTCAATAAATAATATTCTGTAGACGATAAATCACATGTACGTAAAAAAAGTTCTTATTATTTTTAAAACGTGTTTTTATTTTCTTGAATTCGAATGTCATCTTCTTCACTGGATATAATTGCAAATATTTTCGTATCATCAACATAAGTATGAAAGTCATCGATAAGATGAACAAATAGCACAGGTCCCAGATTACAACCCTGGGGAACGCCAGAAGTTGCCGTAAAAGTATGAAATTTGAAACCTCTATAAAATACGAAATTGGTTTTGTCAACTAAACACGACTTGATAAAATTATAAAAATTACGAACAACGCCAAAACACATAAGTTTGCTTAGAAGAACTAGCTTTACGTAGTCAAATGCACTTGAAAAGTGTGACCTCTATTATCAACCTCTTGTTTAACCAGCTAAACAGAATTTGCTAAACTAGAAACCGTTTACTAAGCGCCCAGGGAGAAATACATGTTGGTGAATCGATAGATATTGTGATAACCCAAACTACCCGCCTTAAACTGACACTTGGAAAGCTTGAAAGGCCCACGAAAAATTTAAAAATTCAAAATTTGGCCTTGGCTATGATCGTCTAACAAAAGGAACATACGTTGTGTGTATATATATTTTTTTAAACATGGCGGGAATTGAGCATACACTGCGTGTGAGTCAAGAGCGCAAGAAATAAGAGACAGAATTTATGGGAGGGGGCTATAAATCGCACACCCATTACTGAACAAGAAATTAATCCTTGCCATACTTTATCAACGATTCCAACAAAGCGTTTACATTATGTCATGATCCAAATGATTGGTTACTTAAAAAAACAAATTACTTTATGAGTTTATAATACCGTGAACTGCTTACCCCAAACAAAACACATAATAAACACAAAAATATCCAGTCATCGTTGCGAGGAAAAAGCGCCTCGGTGATGTAAATTTTAGCGTTGCGAGGGAATACCTCGGTGATGTAAATTTTAGCGTTGCGAGGAGATGCCTCGATGATGTAAATTTTCACGTTGCGAGGAAATGCCTCGGTGATGTAATCAATCTTTAGCGTTGCGAGGACATGCCTCGGTGCTGTAATCAATCTTTAGCGTTGCGAGGACATGTCTCAGTGATGTAATCAATCTTTAGCGTTGCGAGGAGATGCCTCGGTGGTGTAATGGTGATAACGATGGTAATAACCTAAGCGAAGAAATTATTTTAACCCCCCGCCAGTTCACGGTACGAATTAGTTCATTTAACAGCCGTAAATGAACTATTAGCAATCTTGTGTGAAGAATTAAGAAATGTTATAATGTAACACTTGCGTATATGCATCCAGAAACCTCATTCGTAATTAAGCAAGCAAAGGTGTTATCCTGACTAAGTGAATTTCATGAAATCTTCTAGCAAGCGGTTTATTTAAATAATCCTGATTATAAAATTGTATTAGCACTAGTTGACGATTAAACTCCTAATATGAACTGTGAATTTAGAATGAATCAAATTTACACGTGTTAGCGTTGATCAAAAAGTCGCATTTTTCCGACTAAATGCCGCAAGAATTCTCTACACGAGTTGGGGAAAACTGGGTGCCGGCGGCGTTACGATTGATTTACGTTAAACAAAGGCTTCCTTCCTTTTATTAACTACCAAACCAAATAATTTAACCTGGTTACTCACAGCATCTTTTCACCATGCATCCACTATACCGAACCATAACATAATGACCTTCACCATGCTTTCAACATGCCGCTCTCCTCTACCAAGCCGCCCTTTCATAACCAACCCTCTAACTAACAAGCAGAGCTACCAACTATCCAACAAGCGTTAACGGTGCACCTGCCCTATGTTTAACGATTTTTTTTAGTGAATTTTTTTCTCAAATTCAAATTATTCAAATGTGATTTCGCGCCGTTGTTAATTAAATTCAGCGCGACAATTTGATTCAAATTCGGTCACCAGAATATTTCTGCAGATACCAAAAAGTGAATGTCTTTTGTCGTGGTGGACAGGAAATCTCGCCCTTAAAATCACCCTATTACAAAGCAGCGTCGCCTTTTTGTACTCATCCTCAAATAACTGAACCCTCAAAATCACCTATTACTTTCCACGGCCTCGCAGAGTTGCCCTCATGGTCTCTTGTCTAAATTTTCTTCAAAGAATTAAGTTAAAACACATGGTTTGACCAGATATAGTCAGAGATCACGCTTCTTTGTTTCGATGTCTTTCAAGAATTCATCCGATGCACATGTTCCTTAACCAAATATAGTTAGACATTATGCTTTTTTGTTCCGATGCCTTATACATATAGGTAGAAATTACTACCAAACAAACAAATCATTCAATAGTCCACGTGAATGACGCATTTCTTTACCAAATAACGGCAGAATTCACGGAGGACCCATCAGAGCACTCCAAAGCCACTAAAAACGGCGTTGAAGGATGTCACCGATCATTTCTTGACCTGTCCGAATATTAAAAAAGTACTTGGAAACTTGCCTTCAAACACGTTCTCACAATCCGAACTTTCAATAAATAGGAAGCGGCATTAGAATTTGGTTGGTACGTCTAGACCCCACTTCGGCCCTAATATCCAACTCCCTCCGCCAGGCAGAAGCAGCTCCAAGACCTTTCACCAGTTCATCGTCTTATACGTGGTCGCAGAATCCTTCCCGTGAGCTTTCCCAGTCCTTCAATTCACTACTCGATCAGATGGCTCTTATCGTGTAAGTTATCACTGGCCTAACTAATTAAACGTGTGCAGCAGATTCTACCCTCGTGTGGGGTCGACCGAGCAAATATACTTCACCGGTGAACATGGAACTGCTACGAGAGATCCACAAACACCCGACCGGGTTCTCATTTTTCCGTTATGTTCGGGTCCATCGTGCTATACTGGGAGAGTCTTTCGTATAGAGCACTGCCCACGTTTTACCTCATTTACGCGCACAATTCAGCGACCAGGCATTGGTCTACAATTAAGGTATGCATCCCTAACACCAGAAAGCCCATCCAGTACGAATTGTTACATTAATCCCATTTACCACTGGGTTCCCGCAAATCATGCGCTGCGATCCAAAAAGCCCCAAGAACTCTCTAGGTTACTATATTTTGTACATAATGCTATGATAAGGGCACACAACTCTGCTTGCTTCTTTTAACCTAGCTTAATGTTTATGAATATTGTCATTTATTGTTCTCTTTCAGCATGCACAATCTTTTCCTAGTCTTAGTTACGAATGAGTTATTTATAACTTCCTTATTAATAGATTATCTATGGAGCGAATCTGCCTCATGGCCCTTCACAGATCCAGGACCTAACGGAAAATTTTTGTGACCGCCACCGGTAAAAACTTGGGTATCAAAAATTGAACACTAAATATTGAAATATACTTATTTTAGAAAAGAATCGGCAAGGCCCCACATTATTATTGTTTTAGTTTTTAGTATGACAAATGATGGCTTCCTTTTTTGGACAATTTTAGAGGAATTAGAACAATAGGAACGTCACAATAGTATTCGTTTAATTAGAAGAACCTTAAGGCATGCCCATAATCCTGTTTTAATGCCCAAAAGAGAATTTATCAAACAATTTCAATTAAAAAAGATCTGAATCGCTTCAATTAAATAAAATATAAATTTTTCAATTGGTACTCAAAAGAACTATATGTTACAGTTAAAACCCGTTTTCAGTTAAAGCGCGTTTTCTCTAGTTAAAACTAGATTTTACTAAATGCCTTTGCTACAACTAGAATCGAAGAAAGGGAAAGGACTACGACAAGGAACTTGCATTCCGCTCTCGTTACAAGGTCCTCTGTAGTTCGCCATAATAATTTGAGAACTTGCATCCAGTTACTTTAATGAAGATTTCTCTTATTTTCTTTGTGTTTTATACTTACATCCAGTTACTTTAATGTGTACCATTCAAATATTTTCATTGATTCATAACATTTGATTTCATTTCATTGTTGAAGGCTGGAAAGGGTTTTTGTAGCTGCTGTCCAGATCTTCCTTTTCCAGAATGGTGGAATAAACAATTCTGTTCTTCATATTCTGTGTTTGATTTAGGGACACTTTTCCAGCCCTTGGGATTACCACTTCGCATTTGAACGTATTCGGCAAAACAAAGAAAAAATACATTGTAGGTTTCCATTTTGTTGACGATCACAGCTCAAGACTAAATTTTGAATTTTTCGCGGCTGTTAAAATTTTGTTCGCATGCACAGTCACATGTCCCATTTTGGCAGGATGTTTGGCTTACGACAATGTATTATTTTGAATAAGCAGATTCCTTTCCATTGGGCAATAAGTAAACACGAATGCAGCGACACTTACAGTACAAACGTGTGTCACTAATACTGAACCATACACTTACCTCTGTAAATAAAATATTTGTTAGGGCTTAATCAAAAAGAAATAATGTGTAAAATAATCAAACAGTAAAATTAAAAACGTATATTTTGTTTATATAGAAAATAACACCTTGCCGTGTATTCAAACAGCACCCACTAATGGAGCCATTTGATGTATCTTCAGTTGTACAACGACATCAAATAAATAATCATAACACTCAGTCATAGTCTTTGCCTGCTGCCAAGTGTCACCCCAAACATAAACCTGGAACAACAAACATTTTTAACGTTTTACTATGAGTGTTTATTTTTTTTTATAAAAAAGAATTCAAATTCCATGCAACATATACAACATTGAACGAGTGATACACATGTGAATGTTCATAGAATAATTGCCTATTTTATTTATGAAGATAAACTAGTAAAATTTATACGACATACTGTTTTGGTTGATCCAATCTTCAAATTTCATTTTTGTTAGAAATACATCTTTTTTTATCTTTTGAAATATGTTTTAAAAGTGTTTGAAATTTGTATCCGACTAAATGAGATTATAATTTATATCAAAAATTCAAGTTAGGTTAATAATAGTGTATTATTAAACCGATTAGAAATGTTAAATAATGAAAGACAACAATTATTGTGTACCTACCTAAATCTCCGCACAGTTGTTCTTTGTTTTGTTGTACATATTATATTTAGAATGAATTAAACTATGTAGGTATTTGTCTTAGAGAAATGCAAGTTCACTCCTATCTGGTGTTGAATTGAAAAATTACTCAGAGTAGAAGTTGGAATTTTTATTTAACACAACCGGTATGTCTATCCTTATAACATCCATGTAAGTAAGGTTCTGCCACAATGATAAATAAATAAATAAATCCTTTATTGCCCAACAGGATAACCTAATAACATGACAACAATAATAATTAAGAATATTAAAAACAGAAAACGTAATACATATTTCAATAAGAAAAACTACAATAACTACAAAAATAGAAAAAAAAAAGATCTTATAATAGACATGTCGTTTGTGTCACCTGAAATTCCAACGATTACTCTGAGTGGTTTTTCGAACATCCGTTACATACATTTATAGTTATAATAACTCTGGTATTAACTAATAAATAAATAGGTACACCAATACGCAACACATTTAACACGTATCATTGGTGTTACAGAGAACGTTTTTTAGAAAGGTTTATACAACAACGCACCTTTTTGAAAAAAAAAAAGTATTGCCTCTGAAACGCAGCCTATATTACAGACCACGTTGAAAAATGAGTGTTTATTTAATTTTTTTAAATGTTATCAAGTTTTTGCTGAAGATAAATAGGTTATATTAATTACGGCACCTACAGTATAATATTAATAATTATGTTACTACATTTCGCGAATGTCGGAGAATTTAGACAAGTCATTTTGGTGATAAACAATAACATCATTATGAGATGAATCTGGTAACATACGTATGATAACTTTACAAGTAGGTAATTATTCAGAAAGAACTACCTACAGTTAGGGTTACCATACGTCCGGATTTTCCCGGACATGTTCTGGTTTTTCGATTGTCCGGGGACGTCCGACCGGATTTTTATATTTCTGTCCGGGTTACGTCGACAACTAGATTTAAGTGGTGACACTTTTAACTAAAGAATTTTATGTTGTTTTTTCTGCAATAAATTTTTTATAAGTACTCGTAACTTTTTTGTATCAAAGTGTCCGGTTTTGTCCGGATTTTTAAAATTTTATGCCCTAGAATTAACTTTTAGAATATGGTAACCCTACCTACAGTCAGAGTTAATCTTTCTATTCGCTCTTATAACGAAGAAGTGTTTCCATCGTATGTATGGTTTTGAATTTAACAACGTTTCAAATAATTATGGTTATCCAGGTTTTAAAATTATTATTGTAATACAGTATAATTTTAGAGTTTAAGCTTTGCGAAAAGATGGCAATATAGCAAGTATGTTAAAAGGTAAAAAACGTTTGACGGTATTAGCTTAATAAAATCTGTGTCGTCCAATAAAGCTTCGAAAAATCTATAATATTTTTGTGAAATGAAATCAATACTTTAGTATTCCCGCAAACTTTTATGCACGTCGCTCACGGATATGTATTACTGGTTGCATTTACTAATAATTACAAATAAATTTCCACATATTGCATATTAAACACTGACAAATTCACAACAGTTTTAGAAATCATCACACTTACCCCATGCCTACGCACAAGAACAGCACATGTCTCGGGATAATTGGCAATTGTTTCTGCAAGCCTATCTTTTAGATCTTCTTCAAAAGGAGTATTTTCAATAATGGGTACCACCAAGGTATCATCATAACGAAGATTAACACCCGTTTTCTGATTTTTAATTCCTTTTATCATTTCGAGATGTGAACATTTAAATACTTTTCCAGGAAATAGCAACGTTGCCATCAGAGCTGCTTTAGAATGAGTATGGATAACAGCTCCTGCATTTCTCATTGTGTAAGCACACATAAACAATGGAGTACACTGACTTTTCTTCAACTTCTTTTCTACTGGAGGTAATTGTAGGTCTTCTCCATGGATATTCTGAACAAATAAATCGTCTGATTGAATACGTTCTTTTTGTACGCCAGAAGGGGCAATGTAAATTTCATCCCCATATTTAATGCTAATTCCACCTCCTAAAATTTGAAATGTTGATTGGCAGGTGAAAGCGGGAGTTATGTATTTTGTCGATAAATTACCTGTTCCAGTGACCCATCCCAAATCATAGAATTGCCGACACAATTCTGGAATTAAATTTCTAGGATGCTCTTTAGGATACGACATTGTTCACACAACCAAATAATGCATTAACTTTATGTGTTTATCGTAAGGTCACAAATTGATAAAACTGGTACACAATATAACCTCAAAGAACAGGGGCTGATTAGATAAATTTGTGGGATTCATGGTGAGAACGTTATTGCTGTGGTATGATGAAATATGGGACTTTGACCTGCACAAATTGTAAAAAAGCGGAAAGGTCGCGACATGATTGTGGCAATAAGGGCCTAATCCTTTTACACAATGGGAAATGTGTTACGGCTGCGGGGTCTGAACGCAAGTTATTGTGTGCTGTTATAGGGTGGAAATGGAAAAATAAGGAGGTATTGTAACTGTTGAGATAATCCTTATAAATGCGTTTACTGACTGGCCAAGTCGTTAAAAAGAAGAACTCAACCCGTGGAACAATCTTGAAGACGAACACGGACCCGCCAGATTATTATTGTGAAATCATAATTTCAAACAATAGACCTATCAGAATTTGTTTTCAAGCGTCGTAACTTTGCTTTTGGGGTGTAATAATAAATTATTATTATTTATACTTATACATATTAGGACAGAAATTTTCAATTTTTACCACGCAATTGGATTAGTTATTAAAGTAAAACACAAACAAATAACTGCCTCAATTATAAAGAAAAACTTTAGTGATGAGATGCTTGTTAAATTTTTTCTACAGTCGGATGAACTTAAACATTCTTTCAAAATACGATAAATTTTGATTGCATTTATATTTTAATAATCAATGGCACACTGGATTATGTATACCTGCCTTGAACAGTAAAATGACAAAGAGAACAATGTCGGTAGCGATCCGAAACGTAGCTTATTTCAGTTTTAATACCTATCATCGCACCAGTGGCGGCTCGTCAGATGAGGCAAGTGAGGCGGCGCCTCACAGCATATATCTTAAGAACAGATTGACTTAATTTATAATTAAAAAAGAGTTTTCAATGCATTTTTAGTTACAAAAATATGTTGAAATGGGAACTCTGTACATGATTTTTTATTTTTTACGCTTCCTGCTGACATTTTTCGTTGAATACCGTACGATTTATGCCCCTAGTTCTTTAACTGAAGCGGCCAAAACGTCGGTTCACTTGAACCAGCGAAGCCCAATCACAGACACGGATTTCCATGACTCAGCTCCTATACTCCTATACATGCGTTCGCTCGGAACTGAGGCGATATCTTCGGTGCTTCTCGGCCAATTTCGGCGTACTCATGAAACCATTTTTCCATTTATTTTACAGAACGGAAGGGTTGCGGGGTGCGTGGGTAATTAGCATGAACGTGAATAAAAACCCACGTGTTGGTGTTTTGTGTTATTGTCTCTTTCATAGGTACAGGTGAGTGAAAAATGAATCCCGAGTACGATATCGTCATGTTGCTTCTTGAAACGCCGTTTTCACGGCGAACCGAGCTAGAACGTCGGCAAATTTTGCTAAATATTGAGCAGTCAAAACCGTTAATTCATTTAACTTCCATTGATAAGCGACAGAATCGTCAGTACTCCAAGTTTTTTAAATCAACTTGGTACCTACGAAACATATAAATGGCTCTGCCGTAATATTTACACAACATCCCGGGATAAAACAATTTAAAGAATTTCATCCGAAGTGCAAAATTACCTGAAAGTTCCAAAGTACACATTAAAAATTTCATGGGCTTAAAACGTTTAGAAAAGAACACAACAACTACTTATTCCTGAACCCTCCAAGAAAGTGCTACTTTCAACAAAATTTTGACTTGTAAAAACATTGTTGATTCAATGTGTTATGGGTGTTATTATTATTATTATTATTATTGGGACCTACCACTGACCCGGGAATGACCGGTATTCAGTCAAGACTTCTATTATTACTAACTAGTATGACCAAGTAATAGTAATATTACTATTATTATCAAACTTCTATCATCGCCTCACCACATCAGACAGTCACGAGCCGCCACTGCATCGCACATCGTCCGTTTACGTTATCTTTCAGCAGGAATAGATTTATACGTCAAGTTTGCCTTTCTTTAATTTCGCATTTATTAATCAATTCAAATGATATTTAATTAGCCATTTTAATTAAAATTCAAAAATACAACTACATAAATTAATAGGTGTTCGTGTATTTTGGGTTGCCGACCAGGTAAGTATATTTCTCATTGTCGGTGCCAATAAAAAGACAATAACACATGCTTCATGTAAATGTACCATTTCTCTGCGGATTGTTAAACTACATATAATAGTTATTTATCTTATTAGTGGGATAGAGGCTTTATTATAGCACTACGAGTGTGAAGATTGCAGATGACGAGATCGTTAGACCGAGTCATCTGTAATCATACGAGTTGCTGTAATGTGCTCTAGCCTATGTATTAAATAAAAAACTTTATCTACAACTGCTCAAAAATGCAAAAGAAAAAAATCAATTAAATTTATATGTTAATTAAAAATCAAGAACCAAGACAATTTTTTGCAGTGTTATGACAACTGCTCAAATTTGTTGTAAATAACGCGTCAGTTTTTAGAAAAAAATTTGTTTAATTGAGAAATGAGTGATTCTGAAGCAGAAAGCATGCCTTTCGAAATAGAAGAAGCGGCTGGAAATGCAGTGTCTTCATTGTGGCCTGATAAATCAAAAATCAAATACGAAAATTTCTATAAAGGGTTCACTGACTGGTGTGCATCCAAGAAAATAGATAATGAAGTAAGAGAGAAGGTGCTGTTGGCATTTTTTGAAGATTTGCCCAAAAATTATAAGTCCAGCAATCTTTGGGCGTTTTATTCTATGTTGCGGGTCACAATCTCCATGCGACAAAATGTGGACATCAGTAAATTTAATAATTTAATTGCTTTTTTGAAAAAGCGGTCAGTAGGCTACAAGCCGAAAAAATCAAGGATATTAAGAGAGGATGTTTCAACATTTTTGCAAGAAGCGACAGATAAAGATTTCTTGTTAATAAAGGTAAGAAGATTTAGAATGTTTGATATTGATGTATTAAGTATTCATTTTTAAGGTTGCGTTGATAGTTGGATTTGGAGGAGCTTGCAAAATAGATGAATTAACTAACCTACAGTTAGAAAACGTGAAACATGAGGGATAGATTTTTTGTATCTTGATACCAGATACAAAAACCAAAGTATCTCGAGAATTTTTTATTGCTTCCGGAGGAATCGAAGGAGTATATGACAAATATATTAAGAATTAATTAATGTAACTTGTTGTAATTTGCATGTTAATAAAATTCTATTAAGGAGTGGAGACCTTTATTACATCACTAGTGGAATAAAATGGTTTATTACTCAATTCAAACAGTGCCGAATGAGTCGTGTAATAACGCCTTTATAAAGTAGTTGTAGATAAAAGTATAAAATATTCTAATCAAAGTATTTTTTTGTTTTATTTTTATTAATTACTTACATACTCTACAGAATCATTAGTGCAGATGGTACATATGTAGTTATATGTTTTAATATGCACGTGTATATCACGGATATATCAAATGTGTTAAACCTGTCGAAAAGGTTATGAAAACCCAAACATCCCGCCTTAAATTGAAATGTGAAAAAAAAAATTGAAAGGCCTGCGAAAAATTCAAAAATTCAAAATTCGGCCTTGGTTGTGATCGTCTAACAAAATTGAACTTTACATTTTGTTTGTTTTTTTTTTGTGACGGAATGCGTCCAGATGCAAGTGGTGAACCTCAACGTTGTAAAAGTACCGCTAAATAAAACACAAAATATTTATATGGAGGATACAAAATTATTTCTTCCTCCACTGACAAAAAAAAAGAAAAAAAAAAGCTGCGACTAAGTTGTACCGGTTGAAGACACCTCTTAATGCTCAGCTACAAAAAAAAAAAACAAAGGAATAAAATGCACGTCCTACATGATTTGTTCAACGAAATTTTACACTTCAAACATGTTTGGTTTGAAAATACTCTTTCAACATGGCCGCTGCCAGAACAAAGAATTTACCTGATGTTAAATTATGTCACACTTTATCAACGATTCAAACAAAGAATTTACATTATGTTAAATTATGCTACACTTTTTTAACGATTCAAACAAAGAATTTATATTATGTTAATTGATGCCTTGATCTAAATGACTGGTTACTTAAAACTATTAGCTTTGAGAGTTTATATCGTGAACTGTCCTCAGCTTATCCCAAACAAAACACATGATAAAAAAAACAACACAAAACGTATGCAGCGTTGCGAGGAATGTGAGTCTCTGTGATATAATTTTCAACGTTGCGAAAAAAATGTCTCGGTGATGTGATGATGATAACGATGATAATTGTCTAAGGGAAAAAATGTTCAATCCCGTCATACCTCCGTCGACGATATTATGAATTCGACCGTACTTTCACGGTCTTTTCCCAGAGTGGGGAACATTAGATTGCTGCGGTATATCAACTATTAGCAATCTTGTGTGAGGAATTAAGGAGTGTTATATTACTGTAACACTTGAGCATAAGCATCCAGAAATCTTATTCACAATTTGGTAAACAAAGGATCCGTTCTGACTAAGTGAATTTCATGAAATCTCCTAGCAAGTGCTGTACCTAAGTAATCTCAGGACCGTTAAATTGTGTTAGACTTAGTTAACGATTAAAATCCTAAGATGGACTGTAAATTTACAAACAATAAAACAAATTTACACCACGAGTTAGCGTCGGTCGAAAATACGCATAATAGTATTTTCGCTTGAAAAAACCGCAAGAATTTGCTACGCGTGTTGGGAAAATTGTGGCGTCATCGTCGTTACGATTAATTTTCGTTAAACAAAGGCTCTCCCTTTTTTATTAACTACCAAACTAACTAAACTTAACCTAGCTAACTCACCGCGTGTTTTCACCATGCTTCACCAAACCAAACCAACAATGACGCGTCACCATCCTGTACAAAGCAAGCGCTCCTCTCACTAGATACTCCCAAGAGAAACCCTATAAAGATTCTATTTGGACAGATGCAGTGCACTTTTATTAACAATAATACTGTGTTCGAAAATTAGAACAAAAAATGAAACAAATTATGTTGAATTTAATCAAAAAATCAAAAAAATATATTGCTTCATTATGTACTAAATATTTTGTGACACCTTAAAGGTATACGATTGTATAAACAAAGTAAAAAAGTATATATACACTGTGCTGTCCAGATTTAAAAATTAAATTTCGCGCCGAGGAAAAAACATCTCCGCGAAACTTGACGTTAAAGGTAAAAATTAATTCCAATAACGTAGACATTCAAAAATGTAGAGTACAATTTGGGGGCACTTGACCGGGTAGTTGTTTGTTGGTGATGCAGCGAAAACACGTATTTAAAAAACTGGTAGTAATTTTGTATTTAATTTTACTAAAAAGCAATTGCTTAAACAAAAAGTGTACTTAGTGTGAGATCAGTTTATTTACGATTTTCTTATCTGAGATCTCGTGAACTGTTGACGAGTTTCACGTGTGTATTTTGATTTCTCTAAATTCATAGGTCAAGTTAGGTTTTTAATGATTAATGTAAATATTCAAGTAAAATATGTGGTGGAAATTCACTTATTCAAGCTGAACTCATCGAAAATCTCTAAAGCAAAGCATTTCCGAGATCTTATTTTGATTTTAACCGTATTTAATATGTGCCTGTTGCTTTTATTTCCTATGTGGTTATTTTTTTTAATGTAAGTGGGGGTTCGGTCCACGAGGTAATCTTACTAAACTCATTTTGGTACAGTGTGCCCTAACGAAGATTTGTTTGCTTTGCCGTTTGAGTAATTCACTTAATCATTGTAACTTCAAAAGTACAAATTTCAGATTAATGAGGTTACCTGTACAAAGGGATGCCCACGCGAACAGTTTTTTAATTTATTCTCAATTTAACACGTATCGGGACGTCTTTTCTTGACAATAACTAAATGAACTACGGAAGTTCATTGCTGAATTACAAAACACGGGAAGTTTTAACGCAAGTTTTCCTGTTACTTTTTTGACTTCTACTTCGATTTGGGGTACTTACGCCAGCGCGGGGTGAGATCTTCCAGCCTGACACAATACAAAGGCTGTGGAAATTACAGTCAGGATATAGGTAACACACCTGCGCCGCGAGGATGTTGTATGTTGTAGGTCGTGAATTTCGTGACAATGTAAAAAGAGAGAAGAACTCCGTCACCTTGATCAGAGACACCAATCGCATCCATAACCTGATCTTTGATTTGGACTCTCGACATGGTCTCTGGTTTTGATCATCGTAATAACTTGATCGTTACCATCTATGTAGTTACTTTATTTAAGATTTCTCTTTTTCATTGTGTTGTTAAATTTATAATGTTTAGTATTACTTGTATCGATTTGTAACATTTGATTTTTGAACGCTGGGGAAGTTTTTGCAACTATAAGTCCTTTCAGACTTATTTTACCGCATTTCTCTCACCAGGAAACATTAATAAACGATTTGCCCTCTATATTTTACATTTTGATTTAAGGTCACTTTTCCACCTTTGGGGTTCACCACTCTGCATTTGAACGCATTCCGCCAACACAAAAAAAACACACACACAACGTAGTGTTCCATTTTGTTGACGATCAAGGCCAATTTTTAAATTGTATTGGGTTCTATATTTTGTATACATGTCTCATTTTGGCGGGATGTTTCTCCACATTTCAAAATAGATTTAATGATATCATCAAGGTTTTGAAAGAGATGAACAATCTTATTTAATACATGCAGTATAGGTTGATGCTGCTGAAAATACCCTAAATCATAACATTACATAACTGTATTGTAATAATAATGATATGTTAAGGACTCGGGGTGTATACCAAAAGTGTATGAACACACGTATTAAAATTAATTTAAAAAATGGTACCCCTTTTTTTGTAAAAATGTTTCGTTAAATAAATTGCTATGGTAAAACCCATCGTGTTATGACTTTGAAGGCAAGGGTAGTACTATTTAAACACTTTAGGTTTTTTTTAAATTTCAATCCATTGTCAGATTGCAGTAAACTATGACAATTGTTCTGTAGTTAGTTGGTAAGTCGATGAACTTGTTTTGCACAATCTATATGTATAGATATGTGTGTTCCTCGAAAAGCATTCATAGAAATTTATCCCTGTGGTCTACGAAATCATTTTTAGTTTCACTTCGACAGCTTGATTCAACACGTAGATTTTCTGATTTTTACGATACCTGGGTCATTGCGAAAAGAGTATCAGCTTGAAATTAACGCTGTAACATAAATATTTTTAGTAATCATTGATTTATGCATCCTTGCTTCCTCATCGCAATGGAAATCCAAAAACAACAATAGACTCCAAAAATATCGCAGTGAAGGTTGACGGAAAAATAACAATCTACAGTGCAGCAGAAGTGGAAAAAGAAAAATAGGATTTCAGGCAAACCAATAAACGCGTCAAGATATAACACTAGGGCTAGAAAATTATTGGTTGCAATAATTTAAACAGATTTAGTTCAATCATTTTATAGTTAAATACCGACTTTTATTTACAAGAAACTGACAAGCTATACTACGGGAACATTCGTTTTGTATTATTTTCTATCCCTTTGATGATACAAAGCTTGCTACAGAATTATTGCACTTGTATAACAAAGTGTTATCGTGCAAGAGTTATTTTTTACTTCCCGAGTGTAAGCGAAGCGGACCATGATCCCTACAGTACGAAAAAGTAGGTCTCACGTTTCCGTCTGTCAACTGTGTCGATTTTTATTAGGCAGATAATCTCCGAAACTAATGGCCCGATTTTTGTCAAATTCTGTATATGTATTAGATGGATGTTTTAGTAAACGCTGTTTAAATTTTATAAAATAAACTATCCTTGTACTTGTGGTTTCTGAATCCGTCTTGATTTTTTACTTTGACATCAAAAATTCTCAAAATCTGAATTATATATGAACCTCTTATAAACGACGAAGAATATGACGATTTCGTGGAGCAGCGGTTAACGGTGCCAGTAGGGTATCGATGACAAAATGTGTAAAAAAATGTTTCGGAAATTGAAATTCCAACTGAGATTGTCTGGTCTCCACAAAGTTTAATATAAAATCAGTGGTAATTTATATAAAATAAACACTAGTCTACAGTTTGGTTGTCAAGTTTTAGCTGATGGAAGATTTTAATACTTCTTATTTTGAACTGTTACATTGTTGCATTACATACATAGATATATGACTGTTCTTGTTTAAATAAGTTATTATAAGTTTCATTTCGCTCGGAAGATTGATGGGTTGACGCTACGTTTATTATTGTTTTTGGTTATGAGCTTTAACATTTTGTTCGGTGCTAATAATATAATAGACAGTTTGTTTTTCATTCCGCAAGAAATTCAACTGATAAAACTGTATTATACCTATCCAAATACTGAGTAACAAGAGGCTAATAAACTTTATTTTGGCCACTATAAAAATCATTCTCTTCTTGCTGTAAACAGTAGTTTTAAAACTGTAGAAGAAGGTCTAAACAGTGTTAAATTCCAAACATTTACTAACAAGAAATGGTAAACAAAAAGTGAAAATTTGAAAGTGCTAATTGGTGACTTTGTAATTTGAGATTGATGTTATTGTTAGCTGTTGCTAGAAAATGATTAGATTAATTAGCTAAAAAAAATTTTTAAAAATCAGCGAGACGATCTGACAGTCAGGATAATGTAACAACGTTATAAATTACTGCATCAGTTGCACTACAAATTAGTCGACATTGCAAAGGTTGATTTATTTACTTTTGCTTTGTTACTAAGTGACTTTATATTTTCATGTAGGATTTGTAACTTTTTTTACAAAAACTAACTATTTCGTGTCGTCATGATAGCCTATTTCACTATACGGAGAGATGAGCTACACTAAATATAAAAAAAAACTGTCACAATTCTTATTCGTTTTCTCTTTTGTCATATGTTTTAATTACATTTCTCTCACTACTGCATTTTCGGAATTTGCCACACTTTTGTATTACGTATATATTAGTAAGCTTAGATTTCTGGTTAAAACAGTGACATTTTAAATCTTTGTGGCTTGTTTTCTGTCCACAGAATATTTAATTCCAGTAACAACTGATTTCAATTGTTGCTACTTTTCTACTTAAGAATCCTGTCAATTTTATGTACTCTTAACCTTTCTTTATGTGTTTCTAAATAAGTTTTCTGATTTTGTTGTTAGGAATTCTAGTTAAAAGTTTGCATCTGGAATCTTCTGTATCATGTGTCTTGTCAATTCATGCCAGTACATCCGGCCGACAAGCACCGGCGACACCAAATTTTCAAGTAGTATATTTTCTGAATAAAACGAGGTATCTTTTTGCGGCGACAGTCCATAAGCTGCCTATATACAAATTCATACCGTTCTGGAAATTTGTTTGTTAGTAAATTCACCGTCCCAGCACTTACCGGTTCCATATTGTTTACTGTAACATTTTAAGAGTCGAGTTTTCAGTATCTCTCATTTTTTCAAAATAAATTAAAAAACACCGATTTGTTGTTTATAAATAAACAACCAACCAAAATTCTATGATTATTATTTACGTTAAGTTATTCTGCCCAATTTTAAATTTAAATTTAAAAAGTAAAATGTTTCTTTGTTTGACTTACGATCGGAAAACAGCTATCATGTCTACTTCTTAGAAAAAAGTAGAATTCCCCCGCCTTGTCCGGAATTTCTATGATCTACATTATACTATGCAATGACGTTCCTACCAACAGCTTTAACAACTACTTTTAAAGTTATTTAGATAGAACTTCCTTTGCCTCAGAAATACAATCAGACAATCCAGTTTTTTAGATAAATTATAAAATTGCATTTTGGATTTTTTTTTATGATGATAACCTCCGTAAGTTAAAATAAAAATAGTTAGGTGTGGATTATAATACTTCATATATGTAATTAAAGGAGTAT